TCACGCCGGGGAACGGATCCCCTTTGATTATTGCGTCCTGGATGCAGTTGCAAGGCTGCAAGTTAGGAAGATGCAATGGTGACCGTCTGTATTTTGTGTGGTCAAATTTCAAAGTATAGTGGTCACAGAAGCTTAGAGTGCTGATGAGCGGAAAATCTTTGGATGTTTTAACACTTCTTGAAGTTTGTTATGTCAGTGCAGGAGTCCTCCCGGCTGCCGTGCACTTCATGGGAGATGCCACGGGCTGTGCCTTCCTCGGACCTCGCTGTTAACCTCAAGGCACCGGCCCTGTCCTGGAGCCAGCGCAAACCATGCAAAAGCCGCCTTTACGAGCAGAGATTTGTTAGGACCGGGGCGGATTGCCGGCTCTTCGCTCCCTCCGCTGCTGGTGCAGCTGCTAAAGGAGCAAGTAAGGCTTTTTAATAACTCTTTCTGTAGCTAGGTACGAAGCTCTGTTAGGGGAAGGAGGAGCTGCTTTGTAATTCTCACAGGCAAGCCGAAGTCTGTGAGGTTGTCTGTGGGGTCACAGGGAAACGGTGACTGTTCCTAACAACGTGACTGTTTCCTTGACAGATGTGGAAATGTCTACCCAGAAAGTTTAAGCAGAAAAACTGGTCGAAGCTGCAACCTGGAGGATTTCTTGCATAGAGCAATGATGGAGATAAACACATTAGGAATTTTCCTTCTCCCCTGAGAGTTGAGAGAAGCTGAATTTAATTAGTTTTAAGTCTCTTCTACCGGGAAACTGCAAACAAAAATGCTTTCTAAAATCGGGGATATAGAAGATGTCATTCAGGTCTTTGCTGGTGAGAAGGCTCATTTTATGAAGAACCAAGGCTTTCAAGGCCCTATTCTAACAGGTTAAAATGCCATTTTGAGCAAGACAATTTCTTGCGGCGTCTGGAGTGGAGCATAAACACTCACGTACACGGATGAGCACTGGCAGAGAAGAATTGGTTCAGCCTAGCTACGTGCAGTACATCTTCGTCACAAAAAATACTTAAGCTTACCGCCAGCATAAACAATGCTGACCAAAAATTGTAACATGAATAGAGGGAAAACACAGGTCAGGGTATGCTCTGGCTTCTCCCAGGAGCCTGGTCTGTGAGAAACAATTCAAGAGGAGAGCAGAGCTTCGCCGCAGCGCTCAGGCGATTGCGTGTGACGGCGTCCACTCAAACCAGTTCTCTAATTGCAGTAGAGGCCAGAAACGGCCCCTCAATAAAAGAGATCATTAACTTGTCTGATGAGGAGGAACTGCAGTGGTCAAGGAACCATGAAGTAGGTGTGAGGGGTGGGAAATGAATTGGCGAAGCTGGCGGTAAGCTGGGGTATAATGAAATACAGATAAAAGGTAATCAGGTTTTGAAAACCGTGGTCATTTGCCACGGTTCGTGACATCCTACAAGTTGGTATTTCTATACATTTTGCGTATCGCAAATTGTTGTCATATGTTTTTTTTGGTGGCAACAACAAATCCAGTCTGTTGTCTCCTGCCCTGTTAGTCCCCAGACTAACTAAGGAAACCAAGCTGTTATCCTTCCAGGGTATTAAAAACACCCAGTACCAACCTCCGACACAAAAGTTTCCTTGTGCATTTCAATATGCAAAGCAATGCCAAGGCTTCACTGTTTGATGTAAATTGATGTCCTGATTTTGCCATAAAGGAGTTTGCTATGTTACGAAGCCTTACAATAGTGAACATCACGAACTGCTCAAGCCAAGTCAGCGGAGTTGTTCTGTGAAAGGTGTATAGTGGGGGTGCCTGAGGGTGCTTTTGTTGAATATGTTCTTAAATGTTAATGGTTACATGGCATAAAATGTAACTGATAGATATGATTTTGTGCTATGATAGTTACTTGGAGGCTTTGGCTAATGAATTTTAAATGGACGAATTAGAATTCATTAAATATTGACACTGGGAATAAGATATGCCAGCTAAAAATCTCTGGCTGCTTATAATAGGGGTTCAGAAAGTTAATGGAGCCCTGCAGGTTATTTTCTGAGGTTCATAAAGAACTGCCTGGCCCACTTGCTGAACGTTTTGGCAGAGATCAAGCAAAATATTTCTCCATGCTTTTAGTAATGAGACTGCCATTGGTTTACTCAGGTTTGGTAGGAGATGAAAAGGAGGTAAATAATTTTTCTTACCTGAAAAAGGTGAATTACCCCATGAAATGACAAGATGACAATTGCACATCGAGACTGTGATAATTCTTAAAATCTACTACAGTCTATTGCACTCACTCTTCGCTGTAGGTGTAATGATTTCAGGTGATATGCATTTAAACTGCCCAAATTTCCAGGACTTTGACAATTTGCGTTAGATAAGCTTATCTAAGCAAGAGGCACTTTGAGGTCATTAACTATGTGCTGGCGAGTACAACCTTTGCCATTACATGCACTGTTTAAGTGTAATGTTTTCCATCAGACACACCTTTTTTCTTTCCTGACTATACAGTGTGAATTGAGGACTGTGTTCGAATCCCTTGCTCCTCTCGGATTAACTTGCCACAGTCTAACTCCGTAGATAAGGTGGTGCCAGAGGTGGAGTTGGACGGATGGGTTTGCTTACACTGCAGTCCATAAAAGAAACAAAAGGCCTTGCATGCAAGAAAAGAAAAATGGAGAAAATAAATAAATAAATGAAAGCAGTAAAATTAAAAACAAACATGAGAATGAGATTCAAAAGCTATTTAAATCAAAAGAGATTCTACTCATGGAAACAGAAAAGTCAAAGATTGTATTCGACTCATGCTTTGGATTAGCTTGGTGATAACACACACTGTATAGCATTTTCCATCTAACCTTATTTCACCAGAATAAAAATAAAACAAACTGAGAGAAATCAGAAAGTAACACTGGAATCGTTGTATTCTACTTTCTGTAAAATTACTCCTGGAAAAGAGGTATGATGTTGCCACATTAACTCACTTCCAGATTATTAAGAAACTGCCTATAATAAGCAGCACATTGCTGTGAAACAGTAGTACAGTTTCAGAAATGGTGTATGTGTATATGTGTCCCTGAATAGGGAATTCACCCAACATACTGCTGAGTAAATTAACACTCCCTCATGAGGTAAAGCTTTAGGTCTACTTTAATTATGACTTCAGGAATGCGTTGCCCTTCCCAGACTTCTGAAGAGTTTCCAGGATAAATCTCCACCACATTAGCATTTATACTAAATATTTTAATTAGCTGCAACTGTTCTCCACAGCAGATTTGAATGAAAGATCTCCTGAGACATGAACAAAACAAAGATATCGATACGTTCTTTATGCATTTTGCGTTAAAACTGCTCTGTAGGGTTAAAGTACTAACCAGAAAGCTGCAATACGTGCAAAATACATTCACCCTGTATCTCTGGCTCATTCCAAAACAGGGACACTTTGATTAATACGGCCTGCAAAATCGCTCCACGTGAGCTGTGTCCGTTGCCTTTAGCGAGGGCTTGCTCGTGGAGATGTCTGCACGGCCAGGAGCTGCCCTCTCCCGCAGGATACTGTGGGGACCAAGTCCACTGACATTGGCACTGGGTGTCATGGACCCAAAATAACACCAAGTGCCATTTGGACAAGGAGGTGCATGGTAGGGATTCAGCTCGCTTCCCTTCAGCTGGCAGCAGGCGCGTAGCCTTAGCTTACCGTGATCCCTTGCTGGCAGCAAGGAGATGCAGGGGATTTACCTTAGCCAAAATCAGATGTTGTCCTCTTGAAGCCCTCAGCCCGACCTGCATGTTTTCACTCAGGTGTCAATCCCTCTCACATCCCAGCACCGCTGCCGTATGCAGCGTAAACTGCACCTCTCAGACCGAGTTCAAAATGTTCTCCTCCTCCTCCCACTCATCCCTGCTGCCTTCGTTACGCTTATTTCTCTTGACAGTGATTTCTGGCATCAGAAAATGCCATCAGCCTCGCGGGATTACACCTTGGATGAAGAGGCTGAATTGCCCATGGAAAAGCTCCCGCCTTTCGCATCTAAAACTGCAAAGTGAGTTTAAACACCTCACTTCGAAGTAGGTGCCTCACGTCTGGAAACCTGAAGTTGGGCGATGGGGAACCCACCTCTCGGTGACTGCGCCAGCGGCCACCGATCCTGCAGCGCAACGTGCCCCTCGTCCCTACGGGCAGTCCCGGCGAAGCGAAGGGGATCAGGGCAGCTGTAGCACCTGAGCCAAACAGGGCCATGTCGGCGTTCAGGACATGGCCAGAACCAAACCGGCACCAGGGAAGGCGGCCAGAGGAAGGGGCTGGCAGACAACTTCAAGAACAGGCTCCGAGTTGCTGCTCATGCCTTGTTTCTCTTACAGCGGCTGGTGGTTTGGTAAATGGGTGTTTACACTCTATTTTAATGATTGATTCTATCTCACAAACTGCTGTAATACTCAAGGCATGATTTATATACAGCATTTCCTTTGTTTTCCCTCTGCCCTTTTAAATTGCTCATTACGCTTCAGTGGAGCTATAACCAGAATTTCTTTGGCTCCATAATCTTACTTTACTGTGGCATCCATCACCTTTCAGTAGGTCTCCCTGCTTTGAAGCGCATGCTTCAGCACAGGGTGTAAACCCCTGGCTGTGAAAAAAATGCTTTCTAGAGCAAGAGAAAAATGACCCTTGGGGATTTGGAAGTACATTCCTGTTGTTACTCAAAGGGCTGATGCTAATGCCATACAAAAAAAAAAATATAATCCACTTGTGTTTTAATCCTTTCCAAGATAACTTATAGTTGAAGTCTTAAAGATCAAGCAGAAGCTGTTTGAGAAATTAACTGCTCTTGTTCTGCACTGCCATACTAAGCAGCACTAATTGGACCGTGGGTGAGGTACTTCCCTGTTCTTATTAATAAATTATTTGCCTTTAGTGCCAAAACGCCCGGTGAGAGTTCAGCCATACAAAATCTGCACTCCAGCAAAGAGACGTATAATGCAGTCCCCTCCACACCCACAACCCTCAGCCTCCCAGAAACATAAGCAAAGCTGGAAGCGTACGACTCACCTGCTCAATATCGCTGTTTTTCCTTGATTTGTATATAAATTCACCAATGGCTACAAACACCGAAAGAACGAGCCCTGCGGCGAGCACTATGAAGATGCCCCCAATATTCTCGACCCCGAGAGCGCTGGCTTCCTTGCTGTCCTCCTCGGGGCAGCCGTTGCCTCGCCACCACTTCTCCTTCATCATGTGCAGCTTTCCCTCTTCTTGGAGCTGGAGGATGGCGATGGTGATCTTGTCTCTGTAAGGAGACCCTGCAAGGCGAGAGCAAGACCCGTCAGCCCTGGCTGCAGCAAAGCGAAGGCAGGGAGGGAGCAAGCTGCTGCTATCTGAAGCAAAAAGTGTTCAAGTATCAGAGGCTTGATTATTCCAGCTCAAAACTCTTGGTTTCTCTTTGGCTGGAAGGGGGGAGATGACTATCTGTTGGTTTCTGCCCTGGGGACTGGAAAGCGGAAGGCTCCCTTGGTGCAGTTATTTGTTTGAGAATTCATTATAATTTCTAGGGTCTCCTACGGAGGTTTATTTAAGCCTTGGCAGTGGGTTTTCTTGCTAAGCAATTCCTCCATGTCATGTTTGAGTCTTGCTTTGAGCATCCTTTGAGACTTTCCGCTTTGCATCTCTTCGATTTACTTCAACATCTGTTTATTTTTCCTACCGCATGTAAAAGGGGCAGCTGTCTAAGAAAAGGCCACTGTCAGTCAGCCACAGTTTCTTCTCATCGATACCTGCATAAGCCCACAACTCCACCTCAGCTACCTTACAGCTTACAAGGACCCAAGGCGGCCGAGTCTTTTTTTTCCGTGACTTGCAATAATATTGGCACTGCAAGCTGAAAAGAGCAACTATTTCATGCTTTTTATTTGCAAGCCAACAGCTTGCTAAATGATGTGTCTTCAGGCTCAGCAGCACGAATGGGCCTGTACAGGATCTGGCAAAGAGCGGGGTCGGGTCGGGCACTTCGGCCGTTCAGGTTTGCCCCGCGGGCGATGCTCTGGCTCTCCATCGTCTGACATCTCTGGAAGTGCCTTCACCCAACTCGTCCTGCTGCAGAGCACACGTCTGTAGCCCTACAGGGGCTTCTGGAGCAGTGTCTACTTAAAAGAAATTGCTGCCCCTTATCTTTTCCCATGGTGCCAGAAGCTGAAGTTATCAACAATAAGAGCAACAATCCTGTTGTTAATTATCATGGACAAGAGGAAGCTGGCTTTGGCGTTGTGAGAGAGACCTTTCTTTATGGGGCGAGGATTTTATGATAGCAAGCAGGAGGGGGATGCAAGAAAGGCTGCTTGGCTGGAAAGGCATATATGTGCCCCCAAATCCTGCCATGTTGGACTTCATACCATGTTCAGCGTCCGGGCTGAAAACCAGCATTGCCAGTCCTTTGTCCACATAGCTAACCACCATCCATCCTTTCCTCTCCTTTAGTGCATTAACAAGACTATTTTCTTAAGCTGTAATTTCAGCAAAAGTCACATTTTGCTGCAAATTAAAGCAGCTGCAATTCTTAAGCCGATCAAGGTAAACAAACTTTTAAGGCAGAATGTGTGCCGGAATTTCAGTGGCAGCGTGGTACCCACAGACACAGACACTCTAGAAAAATCTCACTAGGCACCACTTTTGCTTGTTTATGCATCTAAATAGCCTTGGAAATTTGGCCTCAGAATTTCAGTTGTCTTATTACGTTGCGGTGCAGGACATTATTAAAAATAATTGTACCATGAATACAAGTCCCCCTCTATGCTTTCCGTTTCCTTTAGCCCGCTGCATTGTCTAAGGAGAATCGGGGTGTAAAACATTGCCGTTCTTCATTTGTTGTGCCAACACTCGGCGGTTTTTCAGCGTTTCTCACTGCCAGCACCAGGACACGTGGTGCCCACAGATGCCAAGAGATGCGTGTCAGATTCTGCAAGGTCCATCTGGGAAGCCAGCAATCAGCAGGCACTGCTTGAGGTAGCCAGCTTTGCAAGGAAAATACGCCTGCTGTAAGAATAGATGATTTCCATGCCTGCTACTGAAGAACCAAAAATAAGCATGACAGAAAACAAAACAGAAACACCTTCGAAACCTGTCTTTGCACAGAGAAGTGAATTATGACCACTGAAAGCAGCAGCACCTCTCAGAAGAAAGAGCAGAATTGTTTCTACCTTCGGAGAGGTTTGTCGCCCTGGTAGCTGGAGTCTGTTAGATTGTAGGACTCATCAGATTTTTCCCTTGTCTGAAAGGACATCGCTGTTAGGTAAAGTGGAGCACCCTGAGTCACAACGCAGGATTTGTGGGGATGCTCATTCTTTCTTGTGGTGTTTATGTTGCCAGCAGGATTATCACAATTCATCTTGAGGGTAACAGGTACATCTATATTTCTACCCGTGCTTTTAAAGTTCGTCAGGTGTGCCTGGAGTGCTGGATTGGTGATGTTTTACTGGTGAGCACTAAATCCAGCTCAACACCTCTTTGAATATTCAGCATATCATTTATGGCCTCTGAGCTATGAACAACCTACCTCTCAGGCCAAGAAATGCATCTATCTACTTTCTTAGCAGTCTCCCAAGTAACCACTAATAGCTTTAGTGTTAGAATTACTAGCATCAGCACTGGCAGTGATATTAGAATTAATACCTGTCCTGACACCTATAATAACGTTGCTTTCTTCAGGCGGAGGCCTCCCAGGGTGACACTTTGCACAGGTTTTGCTTAGAGGTGCCTTTGCTACAGCAGTACTTCCAGAGCCCGTTCAGTTCACCACCAGCCATCGCTGAGATTTTTCAGTAGTAACGGCCTTTGCCAAGAATCTGACGGCAGCTCTGCTCTCTGTGACCCATCGGCTCCGTAATAAACAGAAATGGAGATGTTTGTTGATAACGCCTAAATCCCCTTCATCCTAACTCAGCAGAAGGAAGTAGGAAGCCAGCCTATATCTGTGGGGTTTTTATTTGCAGAAGATGCTTCGATAAAAGAGTGCATTTCCTGGATTCACAGAACTTTCAAAAATTCTCCTTCCTGTCTGGGAGCCAAATAGTGATGATGTTCAGCTCAGTCGCTGGAAATTCTGGAGTGCGAGGCATACTTTTGCTGCTGCAAACCCCAGCCAGGTGGTTGTGCATTCTCCTGAAGGAATGAATGCAGACCAGCTAAGACTTGCTGAAACTTTGGTGTTTAGGGTCACGGACAAGTCGTCTTTTTTTTTTTTTTTTTTTTTTTTTTTCCCCCATACAGCTTCTGCAATCAATAGTCTTGCATGCTATGAGAAAAATAACAGAGCCCTTGGGGTCTATCTGTCTGAATAGTGGAAGGATCTCCACAGCTTATCTTGTTTACAAATGCAATCGTTTAAGAATTTAAGATGCCTGATGGCACTGAATTATTCCACAGTGCTTGGAGATATCTATTCCCCTGAATTTTGCTGGTTTTCCTTAAGAAAAAAATTAAGGCACATTTATCATACAAGAAACATCTTATAAATATATTTCGCAGCCGTATTTCCAATGGATGCACTCTCTCTGAGGATTACCATCTGTTCCAATTATTCCTTCATTGTTCTTGGTTTAAAGTGTGGCAGCTTTATAACTGCAATGAAACTCTTGCTGTACATTTGTCTTTATTCAGGTTTTTAGCTTTTGCATCACTTTCCTCAGGGTGAGAAGGCTGTTCTCACATAGCCAGTGGAAAAATATACTTAAAATGTTATCTATATGACAATCTGTCTGAGGTACTCAATAGCATAAAGAATCACAGTTCAAAGTGCAGTGGTGTTTCTCCCTTGTTTATAACTGGTCTACCAAGCACCCGATGGACCAAATACTTCACCTGTTATATCTGTGTATATATCTGAATAATTCCCCTGAAGACAATAAAATTGCATAGCTATTAACGGAGCGTGGCATGGTAAACGCATACGTGAGAAGGATATTGCACAGGAAAAAGATCTGGTTGCCCAGTGCCAGCTACCCACAGGAACACAGCACAAACAACTGACACACGATCTAATTCCCTACAATTAGAAAATCTTGAAAAGGACACCAGATGTGCTAGAAAAGGTCTATTGGAAAGAGCTGACAGAGACTGGGAGTCTTAAGACTCTGCTTAGCTCAAACCACTGAAATCCCTGATGCAGATGCAGCACCTTGCAATTGCTTCTCGCTGCTCCTCTGTGTTGCTCTGAGGCCACGAAATAGAACAGAAATTCATCTCCTTCCACGCAGCTCTCTTTGGCATGCATATGTCGGAGGTAACATTTATCCTGCCCGCTTCCATTTGCCCGGAGACACTACCTGATTTCTCAAACTAAACTGAATTTCAGTAGAGCGATGTGCGCCTCGAGCAGCACGGAGGATGCCCCGTTCGCTCCAGAAGGCGAGCATCGACCTCCCTCTGCAGCCGCAGCGCGCGCCGCCGTACTCCCTCTTGCTTGCGGCCGAGCAGGGCAAGAGCAGATGTTTTGCCTAAAAGGAGGTTCCTAGGGTCTGTTTCGGTGAGGAAGGTTTCTAAAAGACTAGGGGTGACTCAAATGGCCATGTAAACTTCTGGAGGGGCCACGGCTGGATGTGCCCGCCCCAAGACCTGGGCTGGAACGCATCTTACCAATGGGGGTTCCCACGCCGTAGCCTTTCGAATCAATGAGCCCCCCGATCTGGGTGAGATTGCAGTTCCTCTGCGTCACGTACTCTATGCTGGTCGACTCCATCAGCAGCGCATAGTCCGTCGTGAGCACGCGCTGGATTCCCTCGTCGTTGTTCTTCACCAGCGCCGTCTGCTGCCTGCTGCTCATGAACGCCCACATCTTCTCATAGGTTGATATTTTGGATTTCTAAGGAGGGAAAAGGAGAGCACAGAATCACACCAGCACCCTAATTACACTTGTAAAATATTCCTCAGCCTTTTGTTGTGACCGATGCCAACAGCACAGCTTGAATGAAAGAGACTCAGTAGCAGGGTTTTCCTCCCCGCAGCCTTTCTCTCTCACTGTGCTTTATGCTGAGGAATCCCTTTTTTCACTTCCTTTGCAGTGCCAGGAACTTCATTACTGGCACAACTGTGAAGTGCTTTGAAGTTTTCTGGGCTAAGGCTGTTACGTGGATTACAGCACATAACCCAGCCAAACCACTGCAGCTGGGTAGCCTCGCACTCAGGAGCGGTGCCGCTGCCTGGCAGGGCAAACACCCTCCTCCAAAAGCCTGACGACGGGTAAAGTGCTGGCCCTTTTGTATTGATATCACTTGCCTAGGAGTCATGTACTTCAAGGATAAAGCTTGAGAAACAAACCTAAAGCGGCTTCTAAGCAAAATTCTGCTTTCCATTGCAATCGGACTCAAGGACTCCATCCTTCTCCCGCTGAGCTAAGGGGGAGTTCGCCAGGAGCGGTGCGTGCGTGCCCTGCGTCAACGCCCCCCTGCCCAGGAGGAGGGATGCCAGCAGCCCCGGCCAGCCTTGGCCATCCCTTTCCCCGCACAGCACTGACATGGTTAAACGCCTCTCTTCCCTGCAAGCTCCCAAACAACGCTGAGCACACAATGTCGCTTCGGGATTAAACGTCAAGGTAGACCGACAGAGAGCTGGGCCATCACAAACTTGTCAGTAGAAACGATTTTGTCTCAAGACGGCAGAGCCACCCATTGTTGAACTGCTCTGTGCTGCAGCCAAGCACGAGCCAGGCACAAACCAACTTTTTAATGTAAATGCGACAGAAGGTCCCCCACGCACTTAGGTCTCCCCAGTTCTGGGGCAGGATAGCCTCACCCCTTCCTCGGCCCCGTCTCTGGGTTTATCGCCATGGTTTATAGCCATCTTAGCTGCTTTTAGGCTCACGGCGTGGAGACCATATGTGCTTATTAAACACCAGTGTCTGGGGGATTCCTGTGAGAAGCTGGTTTTCTGGTTCTTTCAGCTTTAAACATTAATACGCTTCACCTGTAAATTCAATACCTGTGAATGTCGCCTACATTCCACCTAAGTGGTAAGCCACAGGAGATCACCAAACTTTGAAGATGGCTAAGTGGTTCTTTACTAGTAGAAACCATTTTTACTGCTCAGTTGGGAATATTTTTTGAAATCGATGATAAGTTTATGCAGTAGATTGAGTCTGATATTGAATTTACTGGAAGGATGTATTCCTTATGCGGACGAATCTGAAAGGAAGATCTTAGCTTCTCAAATTGCCAACTCCCTTTTTTTTCAGGACAGATCATATGCCAAATTCTGGCCTTTGAATTCTCATTGATTTCAGTGGAAACACGTCTGCACATCAGAAGGTAGGAGCTGGCAAGAGTTGTAACATGAGATTAAGATCTATTATCACAGAGGAGCAAGGAAGCACTGGAAGATTTACAGACATGTCGGGAACAGAGCAGGACAGTCTGGAGAAATAAATGTGTGTCACGATGTGTGGATGTGAAACATCTTGCCTGCAGTGGGACCTTTCCCAAATTTGGACAGGCACACCGATGGTGAATGCGGCCCGAGACCCTGCCGGCTGGCCTGCCGAGAGCCCATCCCCTCGCCGGAGCACTCCTAAACTCTCCGGGCCCTGTTTGCTGGGTATTTTCATCCGGCACGGACAGATCTGGGGCTGACTCTGAGGTTCCTTCAAAGTCAGAATGCCATTTTTTCCCCCAAAATAATTTCAATTGCTCTTGTTTTCAGTCCCCTCACTACCTGGCTAGAAGGCCATAGTCACTGCAGAAACTTTCCTGAAAATGTTGCCTCTTTAGCAATAGTTTTTCTGGGGACACTATTACAACAGGGATACTAGCGTAAGGCACTCAAAATCAGTGGGAAACCACACCTGTTAGTATATGCATTATAAATAAGCCTAAATAAAAACTGATGCAAAGTTGAATAAACACAAATCAAGTTTTCAGAAGAGCAGTGGCAGCACCTTGCTTTTCTCCTATGGTTCCCAACCTGCATCCCATCCAGCAGGTACCCTCCTTAATAGCGTCTTTCCCAGGCTTCCTCCTGCTACCTTAAGCACAAAGTCCTAAACCAAAGCTCTTCAGAGCTTGCTTGGTGCCAGGATCTTTTTCTGCCCTTGATGTCTTCAGAAATCCTTTTGCCACGACTCATCTGGCCTTTGCATCCCGTGTCCCGCATGACAGACACCCCCTTGCTCCTCTCTCCTCCATAGCCAGGAATGCTCGGAGTGTCATGGGTTTGCTTTAAAAAAAAGTTAGTCTGAAGAGTCTGCTTTTTTTTTCTTTTTTTGACATTTCTTGGTTTAATTACCAGGCGTAGCCCTGAGATAAATAAAATCTTGCAACACTTGAAATAATGACCCTTCCTTAGCGCAACCCAGCCCTGCGCCATGCTCCTGCAGGACATTTTTACGGCTGTTGCACCCGCTCGTGCCGATTCCTCACCTCTCCCCATCCCAGCAGCACTCCCGGGAGGCAGGGCTGTCTCTGCAGCACAAGCTGCCCCTCGGGAAAAGCACCTTTCACCCCAGCTCAGCTCCTCCAGCCCTCGAATGGCAGGGTCACGGCTGTCGGGGGGCACCCCCGGGCGTTGGGGTGCTCCCAGAGCCCATCACAGCATGGGGCAGCCTGGAGGAAAACCCTCCAGGCCGGGTCAGGACCTCAGAGCTCCCCAAAAAGAGGCAGAGTTATTCCAAGTCTCTTCTCTAGAGCTGTTACGGCAAAGGTGCTTTTCCTTAAACTCCACCGTAACGCACGTGAGGAGTGGGAACGGGGTAAGTGCTGCCCTCCGCCTCCGGCCCTCGCTGAATTTTTTTAAGTCTTGGACAGTGTAAAGAAATCCTAATCTTGTGAGGATCTTGGAGGGCTGCTGTAATAAAACCAATTAACAACTTTTATATAACAGCGTGTGTGTCCCTCTGGCTTACAAGTGCGATGAATTGTATTTTTCATGCATCTTTCACCACGTCACCCTCACTCTGCCAGGGAATCCATCTCCACTCCGTACAAAAACTAGTGTTCTTGTGTTTGTGTTCACGTGTCTTTCAGGCACAAGTAAGCTAGCATGTATAGCATATAAATATTTAATCACCTTGTCTGTTTTTTTTTTTTTTTAAAGGCTTATGTTCTTTTAAGCCTACAAATTTTAACCTCAGTGATTAATGGTGCAAAAAAATCAGTGCACGGCTGGAAACAGCTCTGGGAACTTGTTCTGAACCTTTCATAACGAAATTCAGAAGCTATTTTCTCTAAAAAAACATGGAAGCAACAGGTTTTGAAGTTTTCTCTCCGATGCTGAATTTGCCTCCAGCACAGCAAGGGCAGTGCCCGTCTGTGGGCAGGGGGTTTCCCGGCACAGCCGCCACCTCAAAAAAAACTTCTAAGAGTCCGGGACCGGCCTGACGCCATTTCCAGGAATATCTCCAGATGGGTTTCCCAGCATATCTTAATGGAAATGTCAGCTCATCATTTCAAGAACTGACTATAACGAGGCTCTGAAAAACGACTGGAGTTCTTGTGTTTCTTGCAGCACGGAAACATTTCTGTTCAGCCCCAGGAGAGGCATTACAAGGGCAATCCACCCTTGACAGCCCCGGCAGGGACATCCTTCCATCAGCTCTGTGACATGACTGACACGTCCTCGGTGAGCATTCTTCGTTTTGAGAGATGACCCAAATACTTTAGCCAGGATCCTTTTGGTGTGTAAGCGTTTTGCCTCATGTGGAAAGATAAGGGCTTGTGGTTAAAGCAGGGCAGGCGAGGGCTCATGCGTGGCACGAGCGGTATTTCGCCCCACGTGCTGCTTCCCCGCAGGGTCTCATCCTCTTCAAAGGCACCGCGTATTTGCCGATCTATAAACATCATTCTTAGATGCCACAGTGAAAAGCACGAGATCGGTTCATTCATTAACTTCCCTGCTGAGACTACCGATGAAGCTGCTAATTAATTCTAATTGTCACAGGATTTTTGTGCATATATCCTATATTTATAGCTTGTTGGCTTTTACGTTGACATTTTGAGATTAACCCATTTTGTATGTAATTAATACTAATAGTGAAGAAAACCCCCACGTTATCTACAAAGCAATTAGCCACAGAAAATGGTCTTTTACTTACAGATGTGTTCATGTGTGTATGTGGCCTCTATATTAATAGTCTGTGTAATATTGACCATGGACCATTTTAAAAAAGGGACAAACAAAGTGGCACTGTGGTGCAAATGTGACCTTCAGAAGCGATCTTAGCCAAGGGGCTGGAAGAAGCTGAGATCCCACCCTGAGAAGCAATCTGGAGGAGAACGTCCCCAGGTCCATGCCCTGGTTCCCTTCAGACCCTCCCACCAAAGGGATGGGTTTGCCCCTCCCAGCAGGACACCATCAGATTGTTTCTCCATACGTCTCGGGGGAAGATCTCTCATCTCTTACATTAATATTGCTGAAGGATCCTCTATGGATTTGGGCAAATGATGCGTTTACCTATTACGCTAATCCTTTCAAATGTTTGATTCTGCCTCACCATGTATATCGCTGGAGGGCCATCAGTCAGTCCGACCATGCAGAGCTGGCTGATGCCATCTTACCTTGAAGAAGGTCATGGTGGATCCGTCTCTAACAGCCCCGTACTCTATCTTGGTTTGCTTTGCCAAATCGTCTGCGGAATCAATGGGGGATTCCATCCTCTCCACGGTCAGGAAGGCAGCCAGGTTGGCAGTATAGGATGAGATTATGATTAAGGTGAAAAACCACCATATTCCTCCAACTATTCTGGTAGAAAGAGCTTTGGGCATCAGCTCTGATCCTGTTACAATATCATCAAAACAATCATATTAAAATGATGCTGAAAGATGCCTTTCCTGATACCACAGACTGTTTTTAGGCACAGAATGCTTTTATGAGCTGCAGTATGATAAAATGATTTAAACAATAATCTCACAGATGCACAGCTAACATTTATAATGGTAACACACTGTGAAGGGGATGTATGCCGTGATACATGACAAATGGAATTATCCTTGGGTCTAAGCCCCATTACGTCTCTGAGCTAACGCCCATCGTGATATTAACCTCCTACATCCCCAGCCAGCTATACTGGTACTTTTGTCCGTTTCCTGAGTCCCTTTTTGCCAGTATACTGTAATCAATTTTTTTAAAGCAGAGATCTTTAGCAGAACGCTCTTCTGCTTAGCAGCCACCTGGCAGAAATACCTGACAGGAGAAACCTGCCCTGTGCATCCTACCGACACACCTCAGCAGGCACCGGGCGATCACCACCGTGCCGGTGAACTCATCAGCCTCCGGCAACTGAGCTCAAACCCCAGAACACACGGTATCACAAACGTGGGGGTCACACTTGAAAATTCAGAGGGTGAATGGATGTATCCTTTGGATCTACAGGGCAACGCAAAGTTTTGGACATCGTATTTAACACTCATTGTTGCTGAAAAAGTTTGAGCAGATCTGCCTGCACGTCACAGCGGCAAATATCGAAGTGATCTGCCGCTGTCACAACCCCCCCGAACAGCACGTGTGGGTGTTAGCGCGCTGAAACGCCTTCTAAACGGCTCAGAGAAACTGTAATTAAGCCACACAGGTACTCGTCTTTCTAAGCATTCTCCTGCGAGTTTTGTGCTGTTTTTTTCTAGAGGCGTCCCCGCTGAACTTAGCTCAGTACGGGGGATTCAAGGATGTGGTTCAGCAAAGCACTTCATACTTCTGACTTCAAAGTTAATCCTTTGCATAATTATTTTGTTGATGAAGGATGGACTTAAAGTACTTAAGCACATGTGAACGGAGATCTCAGCACGAAAAGCTTTTGATGTGACAAACATATTTCTATTACTGGAAAAACGTGTTGACATCTTAACTCTCCCCAGCTATTTAATGATTTCTGTATGGAATTTAAATGTGTTACAGAGAATACTTCCAGACTTTGCAAAAACTCTGAATGTGACTTTTGGGGCAAAGACCGAAAGGGTAAAAACTTTCCAAACAACCAGTAAACAGATTTAACTTAGCTTTGCAAACATAAAGACATGTCTCTTAAAGGTCAAAGCTAAGCATAGCCCAAGGGTTTGAGGAGGCTGACAGAACTGCCAAACTGCGAGAGCAGATGCTCTGCCTGTGCCGCCCCGGCGCTGCGCGGATTTCCAATTAAGCCGGCAGCCTAAAAGCAAAAACTCTCACTTGAAATTTTCGAGTCCAAATGTACTCGTTCCAAGAGCTGTTGCTCTATCTGGATTTATGTTTGTGGTCTGTTGTACTTTCTTGCTTTTCAGACCAGATTTTTTTTTTTTCTTCTTTTTAATATAATGAAATCTTTTTCTTTTTTTGTATTGTTCCTCTCAGGAAAAGCGTGTGTTGGGTTCTAAGCTGGGGTCGACCTGCAAAAGCTGGCTTCTAGGAGCGCTGATTCAGGTCATCCCGAGGGTGTTATTTCTTTTAAGCTCAGACAGCTACACAAACCTAATTTCTGCACTTGGGCCCTGGCGCAATACCTAGCTCTGACAGCAATGCAGAACAGCCAGGTACCTTGCAGATATCTTAACAAGCAACCGGGAAATCTGCCGGCGCAGCCTTACGGCAGCACAAGACAGCAGGCGGAGAAGAACCGCTGGGGTGAGATGCCAAACCTCCCGTGATTCCCTCTAGCCAAAGGGTGTTTGCGGAAAAGCAGCAGAAGACATTCAGTTCAATTCGGCTCGGAACGCCACAGCCTCTGAGTTACGCAGTGAGCGACTGTTTTGCTTTGGTGAGGTGCTGAGCGCACTCTGCTCCCAGCTGCACCAAGCGGTCCCAGCGCCTCTTTTGATCGCTCCCATGAATACGTCAATGTTCACCTTTCCGAGGGCCTCGATTCCAGCAAAAAGCATTAACATGCGCTCCAGGCTCGGCGGCTTCGCCCTCCTGAAGCAGGTACTCCTGGGCTGAGCCCTCGCCTGGCTGAGCTGGGGCTCTGACGGATAGCTTTCCTTCCTGAAAGTGAGCGGTTCTCTGAATGAAGGGGATGAAATGTGCCCTGCTGGGATGCTCTCAGCGTACGCGTAACAGGTCTGAGACTTTCAGGGGAAAAACAGGGGAAGTAACGTCTAAATAAAAACGTTGCTAGCAAGACTCGGGGGCAGAGACAATACTTGCTGAAGTCTCTCTAGTGCCTTTTTATGGCAGACATGACAGCCAATCCTGATCCAGACTTTGCTCACGCTCTGTAGAAAAGAGAAAGTCTGATCATCACATTTTAAAATTTAATAACAAGTGGCTTCCAATCAAGCATAACAAGCAGCTGCTGCCAACAAGAAAGAGCGTAACGCTAGACGCAAAGTTTCACAACCATTCACATCATGTTAAAACTCTTCACGTTAACGATGATGCACTTACAATCACACGCACCACAAGGTTGTACATGGAAACATTTGTGTTGCCTTACAAATGTTCTTTCTTTCTTTCTTTTTCTTTCTTTTTCTTTCTTTCTTTCTTTTGTTTTGTTTTTAATCTTCATGAAAGACAAGCAGAGTCTGGTTGGGGCTGACTGTCATGTACCCAAGGTAGTGGTAACGAGCAGACACTGCATCCCACAGTTTGCTGTGGATGATGGTAAACTCCAAAAAAGGCAGTACATTGAAACACAAAATCCTGGGGCACTTTCACACACAGGGCAATCACAGTTATAGACACACACCTGCCTGATACTGTAAAACCTCAGCCTGTGTTTTACTGACAAATTGGAAGGAAAACAAAACAAAAAAAGTGGAACAGAATGGCTCTTCCTTCATCCAACCTCCTTCAAAGCCATTCCTACGAGGAAGCTCTATATCCTGGCCATACATTAGTGCACCAACAAAAGCAAGTGCATCTTAGGTACAATACAAACACGTAGTCAACTTCAGAAAGTGCAGTTACTTGGAAGAAACTTAACTGAAGGAGAATCTCCCGAAAGGAGAATCGGTCCTGTTTTAGCCAAACCCAGGACAACTTTATTCTCCACGATATCTAGGAAAAAATCCTCCTCACGTTTTTATTTTTTTTTTTTTACTGTCAGTTATGTCTGTTAAAGATGCAAGAATAAACTGTACCTGGATGAATGCAGAGATGGTTTTATATTTCTTACTTAAATGTTTAGGAATTTAATACCAAGGTACTGCTGGGCTTTCCTCTGGATTGCCTTTTTGGTTGTTGTCGTGGGGTGGTGGGGTTTTTTTGTTCAGCTTTGATTCAACTTGAAATGTTTGTCAGAAAACATTTTCATTCTTTTCAGTGGACCCCAGTTTTGGTGAACAGTGATTTAATTGGAAACCTTAGAACATACGTGCCATAAACAAATGTGTTTGACTTCCCATATGGAGTAAGCTTCACTGCCCTTCCTTGTCAACTGAGTAAAATGTCAGCTGTTTCCAAAATCATCAGCAACATGTGACTGGGTTAAGTTAATGCTTCTAGGGTTGGATGCATTTACAGAAGGATGGGACTCATACCTGCAGAAAAGCCATAAAAAAAAGGTTTCGTTTTGGTTTTAAACAAGGTACTTGACGAGTGCCAACAAACTTAACAACCCTTCCGAAGAAAGAGCATCTTTTTTCTGTTTGGCAGTTATAACGGTTTTTCTAGGGTAGCTAAAGGCTGTTACTGTTCCCGTTGGGATGGAGCCCTGTATTTTCCTGTTGCCAAACCTCTTACACCAAGAAACTCAACTTCAGCATGAAGCCCTTCATATCCCTCTTGCGATTATTCTACGTTTCCACTCCAGAAACTCCCGTGTGGCCCTGTCCGCTTCCCTTTCGCTCAGACGCTTCCCCTCCTTCCTCCTGCTGCAGCCCTACGCTGGGTTTCAGGGGTCCCCTCCTCTGCCTGCTCCCGGTTGCGGTGGCACATCGTTTTCTTCCTTTCTTCTATCGCTTAGTTTCTAAGATCAGGTTTTACAGTATATTTACAGAGGGTGGAGTTTACCAGCACAGAAGCCCTTGAGCAGACTGTGGGACGTGTGCGATAAGGAAGTGTAACCGGTGTACCTTGCTGCATGAGAGCTCCAACTCCAAACCAGAAACTATTTAGTAAAGTAAAATTGTTTTCCACCACATCTGAGTCTGGGTTGCACGGGTGGGGGTTATACCATTCATATGGTGTAAACCTGTGGCAGTTAACAGAAATAATCTGTAAACAGAGAG